TTGAAGTTCTTCCCCACCGGGTAAGGAAATATCACACTGTATTAACCACCAATTGTGGCTTCACAGGTGCAAAACAGCTGAGGTCAGCCATGAGCCACAAGGGGCACACGGGGCAAGAAGGGACAGCTGACAAGAGCACCAGTATCAGGGACACCCACGCTTCTGGGATGCACAGAAGATACTCCTACAGATACAGAACAGAGCTGTGGAAGAGGAACCAGGAGCGATGTTCTAAACTCCAAGGAAACGTCTGGAAAAAACCGGCAGACAGCATCAAATGTTGCAGTGACCTCCAGGATACAGAAGAATAAAAGCCATCCATTAGGGACATCAGTATTAAATGGATGACAGTTCCCGGAATGCTGTCCCAGGGTGCCGAGGCCACCAGGATGTTGATTTATTGGAATGAGCACTGAGAAATGAAGACATATGTACAGGTGTCTGTGATCTTCTCTCCGGAAACACAGGGTTACTTATCTTGGTTAGAGACCGCAGCCAGGTCAAGAGAGTACGCCTCCTATTTATTAATTTACATGTTTATGAAGAGAGAGACCCACACATACTTAAAAAAATATGAAGGGGCCATTAGGAATGGAGTAGTTGAGAATATGGAAGCAAGGAAAATTAATACATTTGAATGATATGTTAACTGTTATTTGCTTTCTGGAGGGAATATAGAACCAGAAAAAGGAAAACACTCCCTCTTCAAATATGCATATGTTATTCACAAAATTGATGTTCTTGAGACACAAGAATGTGCTCATTAAGATATCACGTCCTGAAAAGGGGACCTAATATGCCATACACCATATTCACAGAGAGCCATACAATAAAACAAGGAATCATCAGCCAAACAATGAAAAGTACCAAAGACATGAACATTATAAAATAATGCTGGCATCAGAAGGGAACACATGATGGGGGCGGGGAGAAGCAATGAAAACAACACACTTCCCATGTACTGCCAAACAGGGCCTTAAAAGGAAAAAGATACTGTTCCAGATATTTTTATATTCGCAATAACTTACTGAAGCACTATGAAAGAAGTCTGTGCTTAAGAGAACTTTGAGCGAGTGAACAAAGTAACAAGCCAAAAGGAGGAAGAGGGAGACCAAATCCAAAACATAACAACAGGAGCAAAGAAAAAAAATCAGAAAAATAAAACACAAAAGCAAATACAGCAAACAATTTAATACCCACTAAGATAGTATGTGCATTCAGAGGCTGGTCTCTGCGGACGACCGCAGAGTGTAAGAACAGAGGGCAACATAGAATCATTACAGCTCTCCCGTATTAAGCACCTTCCAGAAAGTATCTGTTTACTGCATTGTAATATGGACCCTGTTTTTTCATTTTACCTGCAAGGAAGCTAAAGCTCAACCAAGATTTGAACTTAGTCATTGATTAAACTGCTTTCTCTGCACCAGACTGTGTCTGCCAGGAAGAAACAAACAGGCAGAGAAAAGTGAGAAAAAAATTAAGGATAATAATGGGGAATTCACAACCCAGATTTGTATGCACACTTCAAAGTGACCATTATTTATTCTAAGTTTTATTTATTTAAGACACCTCTACACCCAACGTGGGGCTCGAACTCACAACCCTGAGATCAAGAGTCGCAGGCTCTTTTGAGAGAGCCAGCCAAGTGCTCCAAAGTGACCATGATAAAAAGTCTATTGGAATTTAGTCAAAAACCCACAGCAACTTCTTTCTAGATATGTCTCCAAAGGCAAAGGAAACAAAAGTGAAAATGAACTTTTGGGACTTCATCAAGATCAAAAGCTTCTGCAGAGCAAAGAAAACAGTCAACAAAACAAAGAGGCAACCCCACGGAATGGGAGAAGATAATCGCAAATGACACTACATACAAAGGGCTGATATCCAAGATCTATAAAGAACTCCTCAAACTCAACACACACAAAACAGATAATCACATCAAAAAATGGGCAGAAGACATGAGCAGACACTTCTCCAAAGAAGACATACAAATGGCATGGAAAAATGTTCATCATCACTAGCCATCAGGGAGATTCAAATCAAAGCCACATTGAGATACCACCTTACACCAGTTAGAATGGCCAAAATTAACAAGGCAGGAAACAACATGTGTTGGAGGGGATGTGGAGAAAGGGGAACCCTCTTCCACTGTTGGTGGGAATGCAAGTGGCTGCACCAACTTGCATTCCCACC